CTGCAAATGTGCTTTATTTGCATGAACTGTCCCTGTATTTGCATACAGTGTGCTGACAAAGCATTTCAGATTGACATGCATGCGACTGCCTGTGTGCACATGAATACCAACGACGGGCAGCTTTCTGAAGGCTGGCAGTGATCAGAATCTCTCCTTTTTTGTCTCTCTACACCCACTCAGATATTCAGTCATGATTTTCTTAAAACTGGCTGAAGAAAGAAAAGACAGTTGATGCCTGGAAAATGTTTTGTTTTCCAATCTCTACACTCATTTGCTCAGATACTAATATGAAAAAATTTAAAATAATGTTTTCATTTGGGGAATTCTCTAAACATCTAGACTGTGTCGCTTACTGACTTCACATTGTGTTTGATTAATTATCATTTTTCATGACAATTTAAACCTCTTCTCAAATAGGTCTGATGTATAAACCAGCTCGGGGGGGAGTGGACATCAGCAGTTTTATTCCTGGTGTTTTGGTTAAATGTGTGATGATGTTTTAAATATTTTATACTTGGTGGAGTTTGTATGTTTTCTATGTGTTCTCAATGTGTCTAGGAGTTCTCTGGCTTCCTCCCACTGTCCAAAAACATGCATGTTAGATTAGCTGGACACTCCAACTAGCTCCTAGGGATGAATGTGAGTGTGGTTGCATGTCTCTGTGTGCTGACCTGTCCAGGCTGGACCTGCCTCTTGCCCATCAGCTGAAATAGGCTCAGCCCCCCCGCGACCCCGATGGAAAAATAAGCGGTACAGAAAATGGGTGGATGGATTCATTTTTAATCCAGAACCTTTGCTGTCGATGACCAGACAGCCGAGGCGTCGGTGGTTTTAGAAGTTATAAAATAACATGTTTATCCATCCACCACCAGACGACGGCTGGCCTCCCGTTGCCATGGCGACTGCTGCGCGATGACTCACCGCCGACGGGCCGCATCTCGGGCGGCCTGTTGAATCACATTCTCCTCTTTCTCACTGCGAAACACTTCCCCCTCTCTTTGGAGCCTGAAATAAGAGCACAGCTGTCGCGCCTCGCTCCCATCTCTCATCATACCGGAGAGGCGGACTCCTCTCTGCAGTCGGGCGCGTGCTGTGAGAGAAGTGTTGGATCCAGGACAAATAATTGAATAAATCTCAGCCTTTTACTGAACAAAATCCCACATCAATCAATAAATTGTCTCAATATTGATTAAAGTTGGTGTTGTTGCCACTTTTTCTTTGGGGGGGGGTATTGTACTCCAATGTGGAACGAATAATGATATTTCATGATATGTCGTCTTCGGTCTGCTGTTATCAGGTTTATCTGACTGAACAGGGTTTGGAGCTAAGTTTTTACCATTAAAGGTTAAAAAAAGTTTCATTTCAGAAACTGTGTGTATCAGATATGAAACACAGGAAGTTTTGGGGATAAAGTTTTATTTTATACACCACAAAAAAAAAGTTTCAAAGTTGATTTTGACATATCAAAACTGCTTAAGTAATCATCTTTTTGCTTTGTGGTCATTAATTATGCAGAAGAATAATTGAAAGCAATGTCTCAGATGACAAAGTTTCACATCTCAGGACCGATGCTGGTTTTCTGTTCCAGGTTGAAAAAAAATCCTCAGAGCTGCGTCTTATCTGAATCGTGAGAGCAAAGGTTTCCCCGTCCTGATATGGCGAGCTGAGTGGCGAGCGTGAAGTATTCACCTCCGCCCTCCTGGAAAAACAGGTCAGTGCGTTTGTGAATCCACCCTGGTTCCTGCCCCGCCTTTTGGAGGCTGAATAGCTCCTTCTGGTTCAGGAAAGCTTCTCAAGAACAGCGTCCCAATGCTCCGGCATCTTTCAGGGCTTTCACACAGTTTTCCATGAAGCTTAAGCTCAGAAGCTCAAAATAACTGGAAGTAAAAGGCCACCGGAGTGTAAAGGTTATACAATGACTTAAAGTTAACCATAGAAATAGTTATGGATGTATTCTAAAAAAGTTACAACAGATTCAAAATAGGAAAAAAAAATATTTTTAAGGTGATTCAGACCTCATTTTGAGCTCAACATGATTTCTTCTCTTCAGCTTAATTTAATTTGTTGATAGTTTTTACTTTCAAATCCAAGACGTGAACCTTGAGATGAACAATGTTGGGAAAGGGAAGTTTTCTCCAGTTTTTAATGTCCCAGCTCCTTCTCCCAACACTTAGAGGCTGTTCGGTGATGAAGAGCTTCATGAGGATATCTGAGACTGTGCTCTGCCTCCTGTTTCCAGCTTCTGGGTTCAAACGATTCCCATTTTGTCCCAGACTGACTCCCCAACCAGAAGCCACTGTGAGCACAGAGGTTCCCCCAAAGTTTGGCTCTTTGGAGCTCTTGGGGGAAAACTGTTGTCAAACTGGATGTTGGAGCAGCTTCTTGGTTCTGCTGCTGCAGCTTTGTGTGGAAAGCTGCTGATGTTTCAGCTTTTCCAGCCTTTCCAGCCTCCTTCTGGTCAGACGGTCTGATGGACCACGGATCTGATCTCATTCCTGAAGCTCAAGAGCTGGAAACCAGCAGACAGGGTTCAGAGTTCACTGTGGGCTTTGTTTTTAACTCAGCCTCTTCTCAATATTAACAGACATAGTTAATCTGAAGCTGACATCAGATGACTTTGACAGCTAGTGAGGGGGGGTAGGCACTAGATGGATGTGCATTTACAGCTCAGAGTGTGTGTTTTAGTTGAATTTCGTAAAGTGGTTTCCCATGCAGATGTCTGAGGAATTCTATAACAGACTTTAAAATGAGAGTTCAGCCTTTTTTCGAGGCCTACATCTGTCCTGTGGCCTGTTTTTTGTCTCAAATGTTTTAGCTAATTGATTAATCCCACCTGGATTAGGGATTCACACAAAAAACTATTTTAATAAAAGAGACCTTTGATGATGCTTCTAAACTGCGTAATTCTTTTACGCAATGTTCTGAAATGTGGTCGAGGACTCAGAAACAAAACTGGAGAAACCTGTCTGTCGCCTTTAACTGGGAGGTTGCGGCCGCAGCCCAATGCCTGCTGGTTATAACAGACTGTTTTCCAGCTTCACAGTGACCTGTGTCGACTCTGACGTGAGGCCTTTTGTATCAATAATCAGTGGCCGGACTGACAGGTTCAATCGTGGGATGTAAATCCAGCATAACCTGTTTGCCGTTAAACTGCTAATATTAAAAGATTCAGAGCTTCTGCGTCCTCCTTATACATGCTGAGTGTGTTCCCTGTCCCGCTCCCTTCCCTCTGGCCCTGCTCCCTGACGGAAGGCAGCAGCTGCAAACTCAAAGTGGCCGTTACCTGAACTGCAAAGAGCTCAGCGAGTCCTCCAGAGGGGCGGCAGCTGCCTCTACGCCGAGCCAAATGCCCCACTGATGGAGAAGGACTCAGGGTCTGACCTCCTGACCCG